CCACCACAAATTACAATTCCCAGGATTGCATATCACTGAGCCATGGAAGTTCAAGTGGCGTCAAAGTGGATTATTTCTGCAGTGAGGATGCAGCCATAAAGATTACACGCTCCACACTGGGGGAAAAGATAGAGAGAAGGCTTTCTGTTACCTACCAATGAGACGCAAGGATTACTTGGATGCGTGCAGACCATGGGAATATTAATGTTAATGTTAATGCACTGTAGTGAATTTGTTACCATTACATCACACAGAGGAAAAAGGAGAACTTTATACAACCCAGTCATTAATTAATTAAATCATTAAAATGAAACTATCATTTAAAATGATTTTAAAATTCCCCCAAAGGGCCAAATTAACTGAAAATATAGCAAATCAAAGTAATGAAAAACCACAACGGTCACTCAAAAAAAATAACATGGTTGGCATTGAAAGATTAAAATATCGTTTTAATGGTGTATTTTTTAACAAATTAGGGTGGCAAATGATTTTTTTTAAAAAAAATGATTTCCAACTTCCAACTTAAGTTATACCATGTAGCCATGTCTTCTAAGTCCCCAGGTCTTACCTCTTGTTCTTGAGGTTCTAACATCCTACATCCACAGCTCAGAGGGAAACATCTGCACAGGGCAAGAAAGAGGTGCAGAATTAACACACAAGTGTAAATTGACACCATAAACCATTTGCATTTCTTCAGCTGTATTACTGAACAGAAAAGAGGCTGGTGCTCAAGAAGGAAGGAAATAAAGTACAGTATTTGTTGAAGAAACTCATCTCTTGAACATTTCCTGTTTTAAAAAAATGAATGAGGAACTCTTTCTAGTCTTTGTAGCTTTATCTTGGAGTTTTATAGGTCAGCCTTTGCTTTCCTCTATGCCATAAGACTGAGGGCAAGCAGAGAGTGACACCACTTCTGTCCAAGTAAAATCAGTAACAAGGGGGAAAGTCCGCCTGACCCAGTCAAAGATAGACGCCAGTTAGACAGGGCAAGAAGGAAGCAGTTTGCTAGAAAGTGATCTCTTTCCCTCTTACTTTTCCCTTTAGCTCCTCTTCCCTTATGTAGAGAGATCTTGTAGCACCTTTAAAGAAGTTGGCAGCATGAGCTTTCGTAGACTTTGGTCTACTTCCTCAGATGCATTTGGAGGAAGCAACTGAAAAAAAGAGGTTGGCAGCATGAGCTTGCGTAGACTTAAGTCTACTTCCTTAGATGCATTTGGAGGAAGCAAATGCATCTGAGGAAGTAGACTTAAGTCTACGAAAGCTCATGCTCCCAACTTCTTTCTTTCAGTAAGTCTCAAAGGTGCTACAAGATCTCTCTTCATACTGATTCTACAGACTAATACAGCTATATCTTTGAATTCTCCTCTTCCCTTGTATGTCTTCTTACCTTTTTCAATCTGCAAGTCTGAGGACAGGGACTGTTTCTGTTTTTGCGTGGTTTGGGGTTTTTGTTTGTTTGTTTAAGTAAAACTGCTTTGCAATACAACATAGAGAAGCCAGTTTTATTTTAGTAAATAAAATTACTATCTTTAATAATTTAAATTACTTAAATTAAAAATAAAGTCTTAGTAAATACAAATAATTGAGGAGCTTGAAGTACCCAGACAAATCTTGGGATACTTTCAAGCAGAACAGGTGAGGAGAGGATGTCAAAGAAGGTTGATAAAACAGACAGCGCATCTGCATGGCACAGCTGTGGTGGTTTGATACAATGGCTCTACCCTATGGAATCCTGGGATCTGTAGTTCAGTAAAGGCCAGAATTCTCTTCCAGCTCTCTACTGAACAATCTGTAGCAGAATTCCACCCCTGGGTGGGGGGAACCGAGCAGCCCATATACAGACTTTCAGGGGTCCAAGATGGTTTTTGAAACCCTTGCTGAACCTCCCAATCCCCCAGAATCCATCCAAACTTTCCAGCCGATAAAATGTTGTCCCCACCACCACCACCAATGAGCCTTTTTACCTGTAGTGGTTTGTGTTGAAATAGGACTCTAGTTGTGCAGGGTTTGAATTGCTGTTCAGCCAAGGAAACTCACTGGGTGATCTTGGGTAAGTCACCTTCTTTCAGCCTGAGAGGAAGACAATGGCAAACCTTCTTTGAATAAATAAATCTTGCCAAGAAAAATGTACCATAACATGGCCGTAAGTTGAAGGCACAAAACAACAACAACAAACAGCAACCTCCACTTGAAACAGGAAGACTCCTCCACTCTCAAAATGGTCTGAAAAATTACTTGGAGTGATACACTGTCACTTCCAATCACTCCAAACGATGAATGCAAAAGTGGCTGCATCCGCACTGGAGAAATAATCCAGTTTGACACCGCTTTAACTGTCATGCTATGAAATTCTGGGAACTGTAGTAAACAGTATAAAATTTAAAAGGCATGTAAAAATTTTTAAATGATAAGAAGCTCCTCTGATTACACATTCTCCATAAGAAGCTCCTCTGATTACACATTAAAAGCCTGCTTAAATGAAGGCTGCGTCCGCACTGCAGGTTGACACCACTTTAACTGCCATGGTTCAGTGCTGTGGAATTCTGGGAACAGTAGTTCGGTGAGACATTTAGCTTTCCCTGTCACAGAGCTCTGGTGCCAAAACAAACTACAGTTCCCAGAATTCCATAACACTAAGCCATGGTGGTTAAAGTGGTGTCAACTTGGATTATTTCTGCAGTGCAGATGCAGCCAGTATACTGAAACCCTTCAGAGGAGAAATGGCATGCTATGTCTCTCCAGTCTCTGAAATGTGCTCTCTAAGCTAACCCAAATACAAAGCAAAAGATTCCAAACAATGAAGCTATGAGGGTTAAAGAGGTGTCAGACTCCTACAATTCTATAGTATAGAACGACTGAAGTATAAATGCTGCTCTGCATAACACCTGATCTCTTTTCCTGCCACGTTTGGCAGAAACAGAACTGGGGTAAGATGAGTAGGAAAGCCAGCATAGTATAGTAGTGGTTTGAATGTTAGATTAGGACCCTGAAATCCAAGGTTCAAATCCTCTCTGAGCCACAGAAACCCACCTGGTAATTGTGGGCAAGTCACAACCTCTCAGCCTCATAGGAACGCAAATGCAACCCCCCTCTAAGGAAATATTGTCAAGAAAACACCATGATGGGTCTCCCTTAGGATCCTCATAAATTGGAAATGCCTTGAAGGCACACGATAAAAACAAGGTGAGCAGAGGGTGAGGACAACATAAATAAAGGCTCTAGTTTCACTTGGTCCTATCACTGCTCACTTGAATAATGAATACAGACAGCATAGCAATGCAGAGCCAGCAGTTAACAGTGGACACAGCGATGCCAAATTCTGATTCTGGCCCTTGTTGTTGGTGTCGTCGTGTGCCTTATAGTCATTTCTGACTTACAACAACACTAAAGTGAACCTTTCACAGGGTTTTCTTGGCAAGTTTATTCAGAGGGGTTTGTCATTGCCATCCTCTGAGGCTGAGAGAGTGTGACTTACCCAAGGTCACTCAGTGGGTTTTTCGGGCTGTGAGGCCATGTTCTAGAAAAATGTATTCCTGGCGTTTCGCCTGCATATGTGGCTAACATCTTCAGAGAATGCTGGCATGGAGGTGTGTGGGGTATTTAGACTGTGTGACCTTTCCTCTCAACCAAGGGTCACACAGTATATATACCTCACACACTTCCATGCCAGCACTCTCTAAAGATGCAAGCCACAGATGCAGGCAAAACATCAGGAATACATTCTTCTAGAACATGGCCTCACAGCCCGAAAAACCCACAAAAACCTATGAATGCCGGCCGTGAAAGCCTTCGACTTCACATCACCCAGTGGGTTTGCTGAGCCAGTACCCAACCATTGCAAGAAATCCTGGACTCCAGGCTCATAATCCAATGCTCAAACCACTACACCACACTGGCTCACTGGCCCTATAGAGAAGCAATTTTCAGCCAGTACCCAACCACTGCAAGAAAGCCTGAATCTACCTTCAGATCATGCCATTTAGAGATAACACAAAAATAGAGCCTGGAGATGTTACTTTGCAGGGCAAGCTGGCTGGAGGATTCTGGCTGTTGCAGTCCATAAGAGTAACTTCACTAAGCAATGTACAAAGCTTGGAGGGAAGAAAGAAATTAATTTTATCATAGTATAATTTTGCATAGAAGTCCGTCAAAAGTCTTTGGTTATAGGCGAGGAAGGTTATCTTGCCAAGATTTTCTTTTCTTGTTGCTGTTGTGTCCCATCAAGTGCTTTAGGGTCACCATAAGTCATAAATGACTTGAAGGCAAGCAACAATAACAACAAAAGGTTAAAGAAACATGCTAAATTCAACTCCTGAAAGGGAAGGGAAGGTTTACATACTGAACCATTGGGACTCCCTTTGCTTCTGTTCCCCCAAAGGCATGAAGGCTACACTTAAACCAACTATCTGTGCCAAGTGCTAATTAAACTTATCTGACCTGCTTTTGTTTTTCTAGCACCTCTTACTGACTTGCAAAACCATTTACAAATGTTACTAAATCTCTCATAAAAGCCTTGTTAAGTAGGATAGTGGCTGGTCCCATTTTACCCTCCCCAAACTGTAAGGAAAATACCATTAAGAGGGCTTTTGTAATGAATATGAACATACTAGGAGATACTGGATAATCTAAATCACTGCTATTAGTTAAGAAATTGGGCAGATTTCCAAATCCTCTATAGTTTGTAACCCACTGGGTGACCCTGGGCAAGTCACATGCTCTCAGCCTCAGGGGAAGGCAATGGCAAAGCTGGAAAGACTTGAAGGCACACAACAAATAGTTTCTTTCTTGTTGGGTTTTTTACTGGATCTTCAACTAAAACTGAAAACTTGCATAATGATGATTAAACCACACTGTTGTTGTTCTGTGCCTTCAAGTCAATTCTAATTTATGGTGTGCCTAAGGCAAACCTATCATGGCAAGTTTCTTCAGAGGTGTTTGCCATTGCCATCCTCTGAGGCTGAGAGAGTGTGACTTGCACAAGGTCACCCAGTGGGTTTCCATGACTGAGCAGGGACTTGAACCCTGGTCTCCAGAGTCACAGTCCAAAACTCAAATCACTACACCACACTGGCTCCACTAAACCATCTTATAGTCAAGCCTATAAAATCAACTTAAAAGAAGCTCTAGGCCAGGGAATGCTGTATGTGTAAGATTTAGAAAAAGGACTACATAACTTGGCTCCTTGAAGGTGTTTGGAGTACAAAATCCATAAACCTAGAGAAGCATGGTCACAGGATTATGGGAGTTGCAATCTAGGGAATAATAGGCCACATGCCACCAATCTGGAACTTAATTGCAACTAACAATCCTGCAATTCAGCAGGATTCAGTCTCAGAATCTAGAAAATCAGTGTTAACAGAGCACATGTGCAGAGTGCTTTCATCTAACTAAGCACCATTATTATCCTAACTGCTGGGGCAAGGGGTAAAATCCTAATATCAGAAGCCATGAATTCCAAACCAGCTTTTATGCCAACATCTGTCTTCAGAGGCCAGACATGGGAACGAAGGTATTTTGTCTCCTAAACTTTAAAGGAAGTGAGCCTAGACAGACACCACATAGATTCTGATCTAAGTTGCATCTAGACTGCAGAATTAATGGAGTGTGACACTATTTTAATTGCCATTGCTCAATGCTATGGAATTTTGAGATTTGTAGTTTTGTGAAATATTTAGCCTTCTCTTTCGGAGAGCTCTGATGCCACAGCAAACTAAAAATCCAAGGATCCCATAGCATGGAGCCACAATTTCAAGGCAGTGTCAACCTGCATGAATTCTGCAGTATGGCAGCAGTCTTAGATCTCTCTTCTCGGGTGGGAAGAGGCACATGGGAGACCCGTCACTCGAGTTTGTCTGATTTGTTCCTCCTCAAGAAAAACATGTTTCTGTATATTTAAAATATAGAAAATATTACTTTATTAGAGAAGGGATCCCAGTACGTGAAGAGCCACAAGGTTGTTGTGTGACTTCGAGTTGTTTCTGACTCATAGTGACTTATAGATAAGGTAAACCTATCATGGGGTTTTCTTGGCAAGATTTGTTCAGAGGAGGTTTGCCATTGCCTTCCCCTGAGGCTGAGAGAGTGTGACTTGCCCAAGATCATCCAGTGGGTTTCATGGCCAAGGTGGGGAATCGAACCCTGGTCTCCAGAGTTGTAGTCCAACACTCAAACCACTATGCCATGCTGGCTCTCTAGCAGCCCAGGGTAGTCAGTCCCAATTAATTGTCCATCCATTCTTTGTCTACACTGCCATGGAGTCAAGACACAACACTGAGAAATGGGAGAAAGAAAATTGAGGCTGAGAGTGTATGACCCAAATCCAGGTCTTGCTCTGAACTCCCAGACAGCACAGGGAGGACCTTGAACTGTCTCCATAGACCCTTTCACAGTACCCATATATAATGCTATGCTTCCTCTTTGGGTCCCTGGCTGCAATCTATAGAATACTGGGATTTGTAGTTTGGCGAGGCACTGGAGTGCTCTAGCTGGGAATTCTAAATGCCTCTCTCTAAACTACAAATTCCAGGATTCAGCGGGATGTTGCCATGGAAGTTAAAGTGGAATCATAGCACTGTTATTTTATGAAAGGCCCCCTGGGCCATGCATTGTAGGAGGTAGTTCAAGGATGCCTGATTTATTTATGCGGGAAGGGATTTTTCCACTGTTTATTCATTTCCCTGAGTTCGAAAGAGAGGACTGTGTTCATCTTCATAGGCCCTGAACTTTTCCCAAAATGAACTTCACCCTCCAGTTTTCAGGAGCACCACAAACAGGTCACCCACTGCTAGAGCAACAACAAGACTGTCAAAGCTGCTGACATGTGAATATTTGGATCAGCTTTGCCTTCCACAAGCCTACCCTGCCCTAGTTTTGAAATGAAAAAAAAAAAAGTTGTTTTTTTAAAATACAATTCTCATACCCTAATCAGAGCACCACACTGGCCTGGGCATCTGGGGAGTTGTAGTTCAAAAAAATATGTAACATGTACAAGTACTAGTCCAGAACATATAGGACATGGGGGAAGGAGCATCAGAGAGATCCACTCAATAAAGTGGCTTTTTACAACCTTGCTATACGATGACCATAACATCCATCATCCCCATGTTAGATGGGAGTTGCAGTCAAATCTAACTAGAGGGTACCAAGACTCCTCTAAGGAGGTTGTCATAGCAGCTGTTTAAAAAAAAAAAGGCCACAAAGACCTCTTCCATTCCCAAGGTAGAACTACTGCTCTAATACAGGGGTCAGTAACCTATGGCCCGTGGGCGGACTCGGCCCGCCGAGGCCTTGGAACCGGCCCGCGGCTGGTCCTGTCACCGCCACCGCCACGCCGTGCGTGACGCGAGGAGCCATTTTTCTTTCTAAAATGGAGCCCACGCTCATGCATGCATGCCCACTATGGCGGGTGCCATTTTGGAAGACGCCGTTTGGCATTCCAAAATGGCGCCCGCTGCCATGCACATGTGTGCGTGAGCACGGGCGCCATTTTGGAAAGAAAAATGGTGCCCACGCTCATACACGGCGGCAGGTTCCATTTTGGAACGCCAAACGGCACCGCCGCCATGCACATGCACACGGCACCGGAGCCGTTTCGCCTTTTAAAACGGCGCCCGCCGCCCTGCGCATCCATGGATGGGATGGCGCCCCGCACTCGCGTACGCAAGCGCACCACGGCGGGTGCTGTTTGGCCTTCCTGTTTGGCCTTCCATGCGTTTTGGAAGGCCAAATGGCGCCAGCGTCGTGCGCATGCAAAATGGCGCACAGCACCATGCGTATGCGAGCGCGGGGCACCATCCAAAATGGCACCATCCAAAATGGCGTACGCAAGCGCACCACAGCGGGTGCTGTTTGGCTTTCCAAAATGGCTCCTGCTGCTGTGCGCATGCGCACACCACCGCAGCCCGGGGGCATCGGGGGACAGGGGTACCGGCCCCACCCCCAAAAAGGTTGCCGACCCCTGCTCTAATATATGTGCATATGATTTCAAGTCACCAGATGATTTAAGGTGACCTCTTTAATTTCACAGGGTTTTTTTTAAGGCAAGGAATACTTAGAGGTGGTTTTGCCAGTTCCTTCCTCTGAAATATAGTCTATAGCTCCTGGTATTAGTGGGTGGTCTCCCATCCAAGTACTAACCAGAGCTGACTCTCCTTAGCTTCCAAGATCTGTTGCCTTTCAGATTTCTGAACAGTAAGGTCAGCATATTCATCCATCATCATCCACACTCAAGACTCAGCGAGTGTATCTCAACTATATAGTTACAGATATTTGATACCCACTTTTGAAGGCCTTGGTCTATGCTATGGAATCATGGAATTTGTGGGATGCATCCAGTCCTCTTCTAGAGAGCTCTAGTCCATTCCCCTACAGAACTACAGTAAGGAGACTTCTAAGTACTGCATCAAACTACAAATCCCATGGAATAGAGTCATGGCAGTTAAAGTGGTGTCACAGTGCTATAGTACATACACACCCCTCCAGATCCAGCGTGGTGTAGTGGTCAGAGTGTTGGACTACGACTCCAGAGACCAGGATTCAATTCACAGCTTGGCCATGAAACCCATTGGGTGACTTTGGGCAAGTCACATGCTCTCAGCTTCAGGGGAAAACAATGGCAAACAAATATTGCCCAGAAAACCCCATGATAGATTCCCCTTAGGGTCACCATAATTCAGAAAGGACTTGAAGCTACACAACAACAACAACAACAACCATGCACACTCATAGAATTCACTTTGCCTCCTCTGCAGTTAAAGCCTCTTTCCTACGTCTTTCCTACGTCTTTCCTCACTTAGGTCTAAAACACACTGCAGAAATAATCCAGTTTGAGAACACTTTAACTGCCCTGGCTCAGTACTAGGGAATCCTGGGAATTGTATTTTATTGTGGCACCAGAGCTCTGTGACAGAGAAGACTAAATTCTCACAAAACTATATCTCCCAGAATTCCCTAGCATTGAGCCAGGGCAGTTAAAGCAGTGTCAAACTGGATAATTTCTCTGGTGTGTTTTGGACCATTGTGGCCCTTCATCAAGACATAGTCCCAATTTCCTTGTCCAACACTTGGAAAACAACAATGTGGATAGCCGTATCTGAGACTTTAGTGTTGTATTAGCTATAATTAAAAAAACCAGGAGAACCATTTTATATTAGGTTCAGCTTAGAATCAGTTGATAGGAGTAGGAAGTCACTTTGTGTTTGTTTTGTCTTGTATGGTTCATGTACTTTTTTACTCTTTCTCTCATTTCGTGTTTGTTATTTTATTTATGTATGTTAGTCTGGTGAGACTTGTATAATGTCTTTTAATCAATAAAAAATTTAAAAAATTAAAAATTAAAAAAATTAAAAAAGAAAAAGAAAGGAACAGTGTGTCCATGCACGCACACGCACACACACACACACACACCCCAAAAAAACTTCATATTAGCAGATAAAAATGTCAGGACACAGGTCCCAACTTCCAAACAGGTTTGAGACCCAGTACTTCTCCGGGTTCACATTAAACCCTTGAGAGGCAAGCTTTCATACATCATGCCAAATCTATCAACAGACAATGAACACTAATCCTCGTTTGCATATCCTCCCACCCTGAAGCCCTGCCATCAACAACAGAACAATACACAGTTTACATGGGAACCACTCCTCCCTACCCAGGGTCTCACAATATATATATACCCACTCTCTTCCATTCCAGCATTCTCTAAAGATCCAGCCACAGATGCTGGCGAAATGGCAGGAAGAAACTCTTCTAGAACATGGCCACACAGCCCGAAAAAACTATGGACGCTGGCCATGAAAGCCTTCGATTTCACATCTATCAACAGAGTTCCTTTAATATATTGCTTGAGATCTGAAGGATGAGACATATCCCTGGTTAAATTCCAGCTCCACCAGTTGCCCTCTGGGCAACATCAAAGCATCAGAAGACACAAAGACACACCCAACTTTAACATAAAGATTAAGAGCACTGATTCTCTTAATCACTAATCCCTCTAACTGTCTTATATTGAGTGCTTTGCCTACTAGATGCTCCACATGGAGTGAGGAGACTTCAAGGTTGTCGGATCCACTTTGTGTTTCCTCCTAGAATCCTAAAATCCATCATCCAGAGCCAGGAGCAAAAGGCATATACTTGGGATGAAAGAACAGGGTGTTTCTGGACACTTTACCAACCCAGGAATTTACTTTCAGTGCCAGATCTGAACTGAGCACCCAGTCTTCTTGCATAGACTCCTGCTTACCCTAAAACATTCCTCACTTCACTGGCCTGTTGTTGCTGCTGCTTTTGTTACAACTAGAAGTCAGCAATCCAAAGATATTTCAAAATATCCACATCTACCTTGCACTCATCCCATCCCATGTATGTATATATATGTGTGTGTGTCTTCAAATCACCTGCAGACCTATGGCAATTCTATGAATTTGACAGAGTTTTCTTAGGTCAGAAATTTTGCCAATTCTTACAGCACTTGGTCTGCATTGGCAGTCTCCCATCCAAGTACTAACCGGGTCTGACCCTGCTTAGCTTCCAAGATCAGACAGGATCTGGTGTCTTTAGGATATTTAGACCACACTCCATAGTAAATACCTAACAAATGCTATTTCTTTCACTTTCAAATCCTGACTCCACTTCCCATCAGCCTCAGCCAGGATGGTCAAGAATGATGGGAATTGTACTCCACCAATATCTGAACTCCTGTGAGAAACAAGGAATACTACTGATCCCTGATTCTCGGTCCCTGCTAACTATTCCACAAGAAACATGATCACACTCACACTGTCAGAGTCACAAACCCTGTCTGGTTGGGTTTTCTCCCTCTTTCTGGAAGCCAAATTCTCACTTCAAATCATCTACAGTAGTAGCAACTCAGAACTTAGGGCTTTTAGTAGTAATGTGTTTCTGTTCTGAAAAAAATGAACTCCATTCAGGTTAGATTTTGGGGGGTAAAAACATTGGCTGTGCCCAATCCACAAACCGGGTACAGGGAGGGAGGGCTAGCAGAGGGGCGGGCTATTAATAATAATAATAATAATAATAATAATAATAATAATAATAATAATAATAATAATACTGGCTTTCACATCCTGCTTGAGCCACAGTTGAGCACCACAAGCATCTAAGATGGGGGCAAAAAAGAGGCAATGAAGTAGTATAGGGAGAGAATATGGCTGCATCTGCACTGCAGAATTAAAGCACTTTGACCACCGCTAAACCTGCCTTGGCTCAATGCTATGGAATCCTGGGATGTGTAGTTTTGTGTGACCTTCTCTGTCAGAGATCTCTGGTGCCACCACAAACTACAAATCCTACAATTCCATAGGATCGAGCCATGACAGTCAAAGCAGTGTGAAACTGCTTTAATTCTGCAGTGTGGCAGCAGCCTCTGTGTGTCCCCACCTGTTTCTACAGTAACACAGCTGAAGGAATAGCTTGGCTAGCTTGCATGTAAGTCATTGGCATTAATGAAATGCCCACAGACCACCACTACTACAATGCTTCTGAATCAGAAAACGACCCCAGGAACCTATTATCAAAGTACAATAACATCCAAAAATCCACAAAACAGTGATACCTTTATGAGGCCAACCAAAATGCACAATATACATGTTGCAAGCTGTCAGAGATTCAGTGGCTTCTTCTTCAGGCAAATGTGTTAAAAGTCATACAGGAGGAAAAAATGACAATATACATGTTGCAAAGTTTCAAAGCTTTCGAGTCTTCTTCATCAAGCAAAGGTCTTAAAAATCATACAGGATGGGAGAAAAATGACAATATACATTTTGCAAGCTTTCAAATCTTCAGCGGCTTCTTCATCAGGCAAAGGTTTTAAAAATTATACAATAGAAAAAAATGACAATATATATGCTGCAAGCTTCCAAAGCTGTAGTGTTTTCGTCATCAAGCAAAGGTGTTAAAAATCATACAGGATGGCGAAAAAATGATTATATACACGTTGCAAGCTTTCAAGCCTTCAATGGCTTCTTCATCAGGCAAAAGTTTTAAAAATTATACAGGAGGAGGGAAATGACAATATACATGTTGCAAACTTTGACGTTTCACTGGCTTCTTCATCAGACGAAGGTGATAAAAATGATACAGGAAGAGAAATATGTACAATATACATGTTGCAAGCTTTCAAAGCTTCAATGGCTTCTTCATCAAGCAAAAGTGGGAAAATTACAATATACATCAGGGGTAGGCAACCTTTCCCCTTTAAAGGCGGAGGGACTTCAGCTCC